GCTCTTCCGATCTCCCCAAAACCCCAAAACCCCGTGAGCTTCGTTTAATGTTGAATTGTTGAGATAAAAAAAAATTCATTCTAAATCTACTGTATATTAGAAATTTATATCTCTATAATTTCTGGAATTTTTAATTAGACTATTGAAAAATTTGTACTAATCTCTGATTAATTAAGGAAATAAATTTTGATAATGGAAAGCTTTTTATTCGATGACAAATCCTATATTGCCAAGAATGTAAGCATTGCCTTTGATTAATATGCCTATTAACAGATATTTGTGAGCACAATGACCTCTTTCAATCCGAAACTAATCGTATTAGAGAATGACAATATAAGCATGGCTATATTCAAAGAGATAGTTTGTGAGAAAATATTTGGCATTTAATGCTCAAATGAAAACTCTTTTTTAAGTAAAAGTTCAGGAAATGGCTTTGATTATGAGAAGCTTAAATTCTTTACCTTTACTGGAATGGAAATCTGCGATGAGGAGGAGCTAAGCATACTTGAAAACAACACTTATTTATTCGTTTCATAAGGTAAAACACAGATAACTCCGAGTTACAACCATCCAAAATACAAATTCAGGCTTCTTAATAAGCAATTATAAATCTTTTTATAGGTGAGCCGTTTGATGGAAGAGCATGCTTGGGAGCTTTTCACAAAATAAGACTTTTGGGAGAGGTAATAACATCTTTCTGATATTATAGGGTGGCTATGGAAAGGTCTACTTGGCTTTGAACAAAATGACAAAAGAGGAAGTTGCTATAAAGTTTTTGAAAGTTAGAGAGATCAAAGCAGACAGCATTCACAAAGTTTATAAAGAAGCCGATGCTTTGAGAAGCTTAAATCATCAGAACATTGTTAAACTTAAACTGACATTTCCTCTGTAAGAACAGAAGTCTATAGTAATTGTAATGGAATATGCAAGCGGAGGAGAACTTAAAGGCTATTTGAAAAAGAGAGGGAGGTTAGATGAAGAAGAAGCAAAAGAAATATTCTTCTAATTGATATAATGTGTACACTACTGCCATTAAAAGAGAATAATTCATAGGGATCTTAAATTGAACAATATTGTCTTTGCTAGACCAAACTCTAGGGAAATTAGAGTGGTTGATTTTGGAATAAGTGGACTCTACGCAGTAAACAATCCTGAGAAAAGTTTGGCCGGAAGTCTGAAATATATGGCTCCTGAGATACTTACTGGGAAAAACACTGCAGCTGATCCAGCTATAGATATCTTTAGTATGGGTGTAATTTTATTTGCTCTGGTGACTGGTAAACTTCCATTTGATGGAAAAGATCAAGTCACTATAAGGAATAAGATAGTAAAAGGAATCTATTAATACCCTTAAAATATTGAAAGCACACTCAGCAAAGAATGCAAAGACCTAATTGATAAGATGTTAAGAGTGGATTCAATCAGTAGGATCTAAATGAAGTTTATATTTCTTCATCCTTGGATTGGGGATTTCACGAAACGACTTAACCCTCTAATGAGAGGAAGTGTCGAATCTTTGAATAGCTCTTTAGGTTCATTTAGATCTTCCTAAGATGAATTCCTTGAAGATAGTCCAATTATGAAGTTCAAGAATGATTTTGGAGTGATTGACGAAGAAGAAGATACAGAAAACTTCAAAGATGATTTAATTGCTTAGGATGGGTCTCCTTCACACAGCCCAGTTAAAGCATCTTTTGTGGAAATTCACAAAACCCTAAAGGATTAAAGATGCTAATCTAACTTATCTGAAAATTCTAAACAGCAACTTATTGGCCTTAATAGTTTGCACAAGACAACAGATTATTTCTTCAAATAAAGGCTAGAAAATCAAAATATGATGTCAATGACCCAGAAAAAAATATCTTACAAAAATTTGTAATCACCATTTGGTGAAACAGCACTTTAAAAAATAAATCAAAGTCCGAACCCGCTTGATGAGATTGCTAATCATTAACAGTAAAGATTCAGCTAACAATATTACGCTGGGTCAAGTTAGGTGTCAGATTTGAGGAAAAAGAGAAATCTAAGTTTGGGTTATGATTAACAGCAAGTCTTAAATCCTCATGATTAATAAGAGACTGACAATGAATCTCCATTAATTAAAGGTAGGAGTGACTACTAGCTTACATCAATTAGTAATGAATTAGTAGATTAGAAAAGAAGATTAAGTAAAACTAACAGAAATATTACAACTGGTCACTTTAATTCCTAAATAAATCAAGACATTACTCAATAAGGATTTTCAGATTTGAAGCTATCTCTGATTCAAAACAATGAATAGTATCAAACTAGCAACAATGTTTCATAGATTATTGGGAATCATCAAAACAGCCAAAACTAGATAGTAATCATGAATAACATTAATATCAACAATATCAATCTAATTGGATTAGCTCAGATAGAATCTGAATCACCTGAGCAAGAAAATAGGAGATAAAGCCAAGGGGAAATTAAGTTTCCAATTATACCAACTTAGAAATTGAGTAGCTGCAACAACGCTAATTTCATATACTCAAATATGGATTAAAGTCCAAAGGTTAAGTAGATATCTTAGAGATCTTAAACAACTTAGCTTCAAGTAAATGATTAAACAATAGATAATAGTTCTATGCAGAAGACAATGTATATGGGATCTTTGAAGAGAGCAGCAGAGGTTGGGAAATTAAAGGATAGCACCGATGAATAGAATCATGATAGACTTAGAAAATACATTAAAGAGAAGATAAAGGAGTCTCACAATCTTGTGAGACCTATTGGACTTACTAAGATGCAAAAGCAATAACTTAATGTTTTCAATAAGTACCTGAAAGAATTAGAAATCAAGTATGATAGTCAGTAAAAACAGTCAACCGCTTCTATTGAGAATGAAGAAACTAAGCAAATGGCTTAGACATTGTTAAGTCCTCATCTAGAGTAGAAAGAAAAAAGTAATAATGAATTCTTAAGTATAAGTAACTCTAAATCAAAATCAAAGAAAAAATCTTCAATGTCGCCTTAAAATATTATGCTTGCAAATCAGATAAACAGCCTAAGCAATTAGCATAATAACCATTAAACATAGACAACAAGTTCATCATTATCGCCGAATATGCTTGAGAGGAAAAAATAGAAGAAATTAAAGACCATGATATAGTCCCAAAAAGTAACAATCTAATAAATTGATCATACCATGATTCCAAGTGATTCTATAAATATTGATAAAAATTAATCTCAATAGTAATAGCGAAAAAGTACAGCCAATGATAGTAAAAATTTTAAAGCAAAGAGAGAGCACGAAATCTTATAGCCTATTATTCAATAGTAAAGCAAAAAGTTGTCCTCTGGGAGACTATAAAAGAATATGAATGATAGAGATCGTGAAAATCCCACATCATAGTAATCTGATCACTCTGATAATTTGATTCATGGTAATCCTACTTCAAAAGAGAGGTCTATATATGGATCCAGAAAAGCGAGTGTTTAGGATTGGATAGATCTCCCGTCAAGCATTCCTAAATATGAAGGACCAAAAATACATACAAAGAATCCTGAAAATATGCTTTAAAGCATATACGATTTATCTCCACCTAAGACAAAGAGCCAAAAGAGTTAGCCCCCATAAACCACAGAGTCAGGATAAGGTTCACCTAATAATCACAGATAAAGTCACATCATTAGTAGCGCATAATCCTTCTAGAGTACTCCTCACGGCAGAAGAGAGATTCATTTCAAATTAAATAAACTACAAAGCAGCGGAGGGGGCGGAGGATTTATCTAAAACTTCAATCTTACTCAAACAGCTCTTTTGACTTCGCCAGAAAAGTAAAATTGTATAACCTAAAGATTGGCTAATCTTTCAAATGATGCAAACTCACTATCAGGCGTCTAAAGCAAATTTAACTCAAAGGGTAGTCCACGATTTGTAGTTTAAGGCAACAGGAAAACTGCTGAAAGTCCGACAGCTAACTCTATCGGAAGCCCTTCAAGTTTGAGTCCAGCAAGGTAAACCTTCAATATTTAGAACATCGATGGATCATTTTTGGAATGTGAAAGACGTGCTATGCAATAACAAGCAATGTCATAAACAGGAAATATTCCAAAAAAGAAGTTTATGATTGAGTCTATACTAACTAAATGTGAAAAAGAAGAAAGCCCAACAAATAGTAGTATCCCTAACAAAGTTTAGAGTGAAATTAATAATGATGAAATCAATAATTGATTACTGGTTATGAATTAATTTTACATTATTATTTTGAATTCAATAATTTATTATTAGATTAAAATAAAATACATAGGCTTTCATAAATATTAGCTCTCTGGGGTTTTGGGGTTTTGGGG